CTTCATACTTTTTACTTTATTGCCAAGTTTTTGGCATTAATTATGCTAATCCATGCCATTTGCGTGAGTAAGTGGGAAAGACTAAAAATAAAGAACTGTCAATGATTGGTTTGGCATTTGAACTAGCAGTTTAAGTGTATCTGATAGGTTTAATAACCACAAAAAAATAGGAGTGGTTTCTAGGAAAATAAATTGTTTAGTTTTTTATCTAAAGTAATTTAAATTTTAGAAAATATATAAATTAGTTTTAGGAAAATTATTGTAGCCTAAGTTTATTTTTAATTTTATACCATTTATTTAGAAAAATTGATTTTTAGTAAGTTTAAATCACTAAAAAAAAATTCTAGTAAGGCAAACCTGTTTTAAATTTTAAAACCTGGTCTTGTGGGGTTCTCAAACCAACACATTTAAACAATAGTTCCATTAGCACAGTTTGAAAAGCGCTGACGAGCCCCCATTTGCTGGGGAATTCAGCTAAGAAATTCCCAACTTGAAAGCTCTCAAAGCTTTCGAGTGAATCCAAACGTATTTCGATTTTTTTTGTAAAATTAAGTTTTAATATATTACGATACACATTTGCCATATACATCTTTTATATCCACATAGTCGTATATACGCACTGCGCTTACAGCTAAATGATAGAAATTTACAATTTAATTAACTAGGATCTCTGGATGTCGACGTTATAATGTTTCGCTCTTTGTTTTGGATTTCCGTGTTTCGGGTTTCGTTTGGCTTCAACGATCTTATGGCTTATGGCAGCTCGTCCAGAACTCTTTATCGACTTGGTTATTTTGGTATGCAATTAGGCCCAGTTTGGTGGGCTGTCAACAGATGTGGCGACGCCCCCAATAGGACAGCACCTCCTACGAAATAACTATAATTAAGCCTTGTGTTGTCTCGCTGTTTCTGTGCTTTTGTTTATGGTTTATTAACAGTGAACTTTGAAATTCTATTCTGGCTTTATCTCTACTTCCTAGTCACCCACCCACCCGGATAAGTACAATGCGGAATCGGTTAATTACTTGGTTCAATTAGCTGGACTGTACAGTTTTTTGGGGCACTTGGCCTGAACTCAATTATTGGTGCTAAACCTTGGTAACATAACCACTGATCGATCGACTGATCGGTAGGTAGGTCGATCTGTGATGGAGGATCTGTTTCAATTGGTTAACTTGGCTATCTACGAAATTCTGTAACTCTCTGCATTTAGTGTTTCTGGTGTTTGGTTTCGCCCTTGGTCTTGGGTCTGGTTTAAATTCATTTACTTGCGATTTGTTTGTTTATTGTAGTTGGTAATAATTTGTTGCTAGTTTTTTGTTACTTCTTGTTTCCTCTTGTGTGTAGGCAGTGTTTCATCATTTTGGGGTATTTGTTCGATAGTTATTCTCTGCCGTTTCCGCGTCGATATTTTCTTTCTTTTGTTTATACATTTTTCTTGGCTTTAGCACATTGCCCTGTTATGTCTACTAACAATAAAAATAAGACATTCCTTCCACGAATGAAAACAGTTTCATTTTTGGTTTTTGTTTGGATTTTTCTTTTCTTACATATTAAAAATGATTGTTTAATTAAATACAAAATACATTTAGCAGTAAACAAAACCAAACACAAAGAAATAAGTGTATAATGAAAAAAATATATGTTTTTATATATTCTGTTTCCTAATTTCTCGATTTATTTTGTTAATAGTTTTTTGTTTCTGTACTTTAGTTGGTAGTTTATCATTTTGTTAAGTTCTTTATTTGCATCGCACACTTTTTTAGCTGCTTGTAACAAAAATAATTGCTTTTGAGGTATTTATTTTTTGTTTATATAAATATTCTTTATACACATAACCGTTATAAGTATTTAGGTTTTAGTCGCTTTCGTTTTCCATAGTTTTTCTTGTTTTCTTTTCCGTTTTATTTCCGTTTTTATTCTGTAGTTGTCTTGTCTTTTTAAACAATTCAAAGCACCTTTTGATTATATTTGACATCGTAATTTTTTTGCTTTTATATTTATGTAGACATTTCCTATTTTCTCGTTCCTTAGGCAAATACAAAAAATATGATTCAGATTGGAACTGAAACGGAATATAACCAAAGTACATAAATCGATTGTATACATTTCTTTTAGATCACCCCTTTTTTTTGGGATTTTTTGTTGTGGCAGCGTTTAGCTTCTCAGTACGCGGTATTATTTTGTTTTTTTTATTAGCTTGAATTCAGAAATGCAACCGAAATCGAATTAGACCAATTCTTGGGGCTGACTACGAAAGAGGGAGAATTCTTCTGGGGGTAGTTATTGAATACAAATTGGCTATGCGAGCAAGTTAGGCCCTAAGTCGGGTCACTTTTTATAATCGAGCTGGGAAACCTGATACTTTATATATTTTATTTTATAGTTTATTCTTCTTTTATGTTCTAGTTTAGTTTATAATTTACATTTCATTTAAGTTTGTGTTGTGGCTAGGCTGCAGTTGTCCCTAATAGCTAACGTCACTATATGCCTACTAAAGGTGTTTGAAATGACAAAAACAATTGGAAAACTGTTCGACAACAATTAAAAAAAAGCTTTAAAGAACTTTTCTAGCCAGAGTAATTATACTTGATTAATGTGGTTGGGACTGAAATAAATTTCTAAGTCACGAACTCACACGATTCATGTGTATATACTTTATATAGAGCTATCTCGCGAATACAGAACTTTCTTCGTAATATAAATGGTCTGCTGTCTGTTTCAACTGGAGTTAAATAAGTGTAAAAAGAAATTAAAGTGTTGCGTGTACATTTGAACTAAATTGTGTAAACCTTTTTGCCTATATAAAAAATAAGTGTAAGTATAATATTTATACATAAACACGGATAAGTTTAGGGTTGGGGGTTACGGGTTGGGTTGCGATCTCGCCTACCATCTCTCTAGGTGTATATAGTAATAGCTATAGCATATGTTTATGTGGATGTCTCTAACTGTAGTATCTAGGTGTATCCAAAAACGAACGCTCGTCTCGGCGTAGCACAATCATCTTCTGCCTCGACATGCTCATTCTCATAATCATCCAATAGCACGATCCGTGCGCGCTCTCTTTAACAAAAACAATTCCGCACACAGAGTTCATGTGCTCCTCCTGCTGCTCATCCTGCTGCTCCGCCTACTCCTCGTGATCGTCCGGCTCATTCCGTATCCTTAACCAAGTCCACACTCCACATACGTCATAATAGTAACTGTCAATTTCTGATTTTTGGGAAGGAAGAGGGAGTGGTGGTGGTGGGACGGGACGGGATGGGTTGGTTGGGAAGCGACCGCTCCAGCCTTTAGACCATCGGCAGACCCTGCTGCACGTCCATCATCTCGTCCTGCGCCGGCGAGGGGCGTGGCGCAAATGTCTGCATATGGTGGGGTGGTGTGGCCCTAGCAAACATTCCGGATCGCTGCGGATGACCGTGCATGGCCATCGGAGCATTAGCCCCCACATTGGCCGATGGGAACTGTAGCCGGAAGCTGCTATCCGGCAGCTGGCGAGGTGTACGTCGTGGGGAGCGTGCCGGCATCCGGTTGGCCCGATGCATGTCCTCCAGTATCGAGGGCGCTACGTAGGTGAAACCCTGCGAAAAATAACAAAATCAAACCTTGAGTTGCTTGCCATTTAGAGTGTGACTCTATCCCCCCAAATCCCTGACCCACTTGTTCGGCGGTGTGTATGTGCAATTGAAATCGGATCGGGCAACTACTACTACACTCGGTAGTCCAGCTCGATTCGATCCGATTCCCGTCTTGAATACTAATAATGCCCCCACTGGCTTTCGGAGCAGGGATTATGCAAGCCGGCTGGCTGAGCTGTGCTCCATGTAACACACATTTTACATAATTTTCCAGACCCGCCGTGGAGAGATATTAATTAAATATATATGCCTTGACGAAATCCGCCGGCAAATGCAATAAAATAATTAAAAGCCGCCGGCTGCCGTGCGTCTGTGTAAATTCCCGCGGCACGGAGGCTGGACACAAATGCGTGGCTATGGATTTAGAGGAGGAACTGCAGGGGGCAGCAGAGGCACCTGTCGCTGCCAGGTGAAATGTACGTGAGAGCGCCGTCGCGTTAATTGGAACTGCGATCGAGCGCTGACCCACTAAGGCATAATAATTCGAGGTGCGACGAGCGAGGCAGCGAGGCGATGAGAAAGTTTCCATTATCCATTATAAAGTTCTAATTGAATCCCAGTTTGGATTTCAATCAGGTGCGAAATAAATCCGCTTCGCAGTACGGTTTTAGAAACCTGGAGCTCTCACGTGATGATTGGCTAAGCATCATTAAGTAATTAGTAGCAATGTGCTCGATGAGCTAACCGAAAGAAACAGTTCTTCTCAAACTTTTGGTAAAAGAGTTTGTGTAGAGGGAACCAGTTTTTTTTCAAAGCCAAATATCAGATGTTAATATTGATAAGAACTACTTTCTTTAATCAGTGCAAGGTTACGGAATTATGTATAATTGGTTTGGGTTGAAAATTAAAAATATGGTCCATTATACCAGGTTATACATATAGGGGAATTGAGTTTTGTAAAAACCAATCCGAGTAAAATTAAACAAGTAACCCAAATTAATAGGTGGCATTAATATTTAACAAAAAATGTATTTGTTTAACGTTTTAGCAACATTTTAGAAAGCTTCTGAACTTGTTTACACCTATTACCCAACTTGTTTATAAACCTGAATCTTTCCGGCTGTCCAAAGACTCCTAAACCTTAATTAGGCAATATTTACTTCACTTTTAGCCCACTAATCCAATAAGGCCATAAGCAAAACAAACTTTACACAGCTTAGCGAGCCCCAAAACGCCGAACGAAAGCAGCTCAAGGGTCGTTCGACTCAGCTGGTTTAAACGGACTCAGATGTTTGTAAACAAATAAAACAAAAAGCGGCCGAGAGAAAGAGAGAGAAGGGATAAAGAGCATTTGTAGAGGAGCGGTGTTCGGTGAGCAATTGGCTTAAAATGCAGCGCAGCTAGAGCCAGAGCGAGCCGAGCCCAGCAAGCCAAAGCTGCGAGCCAAATCCACCGACTTGGCCACTTGGCTGCACTCATCGCCAGTCTCACAGAAACGCTCAAAGCGTGCGGACACCCAAGCAAGCGGTTCGAGTCTCAGCCAGAAAGCAAAATAAGAAAGAAAACGAACCCAAAACAAGGCGACTGGGAGTAACTTTCGTGCCTCGTGGTAGAAAATTCAAGCTGGAGAAAGGCCTAGACCCACAGCTCATAAGCATTTGGTTTTTGCAAGCCAGCCAGTCAGTTGGCCAAAATCGACGCATTTCACCGACCATAATGCGCTGACATTGATTCTGGGCCAGCGTGCATTGTCATCGGAGGTGGTTCAGGGCTATCGGGATTACCAGTTGGTAGACCCAAAAACCAGTTGAAGGGCAACGAGACCAGCTGAAAAGCGAGAGAGAAACTCAGCGCGCATGCGTGCACGTGCATAATTCACTCAATCTCTTTGAGTTTTTGCTAACAAAACTGGGACAAGAACGAGCGTTCGCAGTGCAGCTCAAACTGTTGGTGCGCGGAAGTGTTAAATTGGTTATAACTAACATTGCGCAACATTAGTACCCAAAATAAAAGATACATAAATGCGCTAACTAACCACAATAAACGAAAAATGTGTATGCAATCTATGAGCAAAATTGGCAAACTGTCGAGCTGTGTGAAAATAATAACAACACGGTCGAGCCGATAACACAAAAGCCACGCTTTGTTCGTGACTCGTGGCTAAAAGCCAAACAACCAAACAACCGGGCGAGCCAATAAATAAACACTAACCAAGACTGGCCACAAAAAAAAAAAAAAGCCAAAATATATAAAAGAAAATCAAAGCGGACAAAATGTCCAAGCAGTTGAAAATAAATTCACTTTCGTTGTTGCATTGCCTGGCAGCGCTGCTCTGTGCGGCAGCGCTGCAGCCACAACAACCACAGCAAGTGTTGCAGCTGCAACAACAGCATCAATTGCTGGTAGAGCAGCCGCACCAACAGAAGCATCAATTGCTGGTAGAGCAGCCACAGCAACAGCAATTGCTGCCAGCAAGTGGTGCGGCGACAACAGCAGCAATATCTCCTGCCAGCAGCAACATCAGACTTGTGAATGCAACTTCAGATGGTGTCACCACCACTTTCATCGACAACACCAGCAGCAATGCCAACAGTATGACACACAACGTCCAAAACAATGATGCTGCAGGTCCCGCCTCCTTGGAGCAGCAGCAGCAGCAACAGCAACCAACGTTGCAATATGCACATATATCGGCATTAGATAAAGAAGTAGGTATGCATCAACAAAAAAAAAAAAAAAACCGAGAGAAGCAGCATCAAACATAAATGGATATTGCTAATCAATACTCTACCACGATTGGGGTCTGAATGAATTACAAAACACGTAAGCTTGCATCCTCAGGCAAAATTTATTTCCAATGGCAATTCATTTTATTTGTCAGTAATATGTTTATTTGTATATTTTGTTATTATTTGGTAGTTAAATTTTGGTAAAAGAAAAAGGAATTTTTTTTAGGAAACATTGGGTAAGGAGTATTCGGAGAAAACAATAAATATTGCTAATCGATAATCTACCACGTTTGAAGCATTCGCGAATTAAAAATCTAATGGTGACATGTTCAAGAGGATTTAAATTGTTACATTGTTGGTAATAAAAATATTGTCACTTTTATAGCGGAAAAATTAAAATTAAAATTCAATAAATTGTTCATAGCAATCTCCGATAGTTCAGAGACGTGAAATAGTTAAAGCCATTATGTTTAGATTAAGGGCCTTGCCACTTTCCCTTACAAAAAGTTTAATTATGTAGAAAATCTGACGCCCTCAGTGTTTATCTTACTAATTTTAAATTACTCTACAAATTTAGAACAATTATGTTACAAGTTAGGTCAGCGTAATGACACTTTCCTTCACTATTTACACTTCCTACTAATTTGTTTTGTTGGTGTGACCAAGAGAAATTTCCATCACGATTTAGTTGAACGACTTCATCGTTTGGCACTCGCTTATTGCCAGGGAGTCGGCTCATCAGGTGGGTCTCCAAGTGCGTATTTATATGGAACAGCGGTGGTCGGACGAACAGTAAGCTCACCTCGGGTGGCGTTAAATTTTGCGAATTAGCCATAACAAACATTACCGCTACCGAATTGACGCTTTTCGGGCCGGCAGTAAGGGCAGTGGAGCGGGAGAAGCACCTAGCCAAGTCGACTTGATGGCCGCGCCTCAAGTGTGAAAGTGAAATTTATTACACTTGAATTTGAAAAACGAAAATCAGAGCTAGTCTAGAGCCAAAGAAAGGGGGCGATGGGGAGGCCAATGGCCGAACTTGTTGGGTAATTCCGAGCGGAGCGGGGGGCGCTAATTAAAAACGAAGCAAGCCGTGCTAACCGAGCCTATCTGGGGCCTTTCCATCTCATTGCAGTCGAGCGCCTGATCAAACAGTGGGCCCCAATCGTTTGGCTGGCGCCGGAGGAGAAATTCATGCCGCTTGGCGTGGAGGAGTTTCTGCAGTATGTCCACCCAATGGACAAGGACAGCCGCAGCTTCCGGCCGGGAGTTCCTTTCAGGGAGTATTCAACCAAATCCCACCTGGTCACAAACAACGAAATCCAGGAGCTGCTGGAGAACGACAAATCTTTTCTGTATGGTCGGAATCCCAATGAGAAACCGGTGCCCATCTATGGAGTGGTCACCATGTGTCCTTCTAGGAGGGAACCAGTAGTGCAGAGTCCTCCGCCCGTCAGCACACGAGCTGCTTATATTCCCGTCTCCATTGATCCCCTCGAGGAACGCAATGACACTGTACGGAGATCGTCCAGACTGTTTCCACTTTTTCAGCGAGTTAAACGAGAGGCACAGGCAGCTCCAAAGTACAATTCACTCAACGAGTACGAGGAACTGGTGATGGAGCCGTCCCAGAAGCCCCAAAAAGAGACCGATCCAGAACCGGAGCCGGAAGGCGGAGTGCCAGTAAACAATTTCATCGCCAACCTCGCGGATAACGTCAAGTTTAGCGGTGGAACCGATCCTGATGACAATCTGGAGGAGAACAGTGTTGGCCAGACACCGGAACAGGAGGCGAATACAGGAAAGGGCAAGCTGCCAGGCTTTCATGTAACCTACTGGATGTTTTATCCCTACAGCCAGGGTAAAACCATGTGCACCGTAAGCTTGGGTCCACTTGGAAGGATTCCCTTTCCTGCTGTGTATGGATATTGTCTGGGAAATCGCAAGGACATCGGTAGTCATGTGGGCGATTGGGAACACATGAGCCTGTATTTTAACGGGGATGCCGAACCGCAGGCCATGTATGTTTCCGCCCACGATGCGGGTGCCTATTACAGCTATAATCGGCTGACGGGATCCTTTGAGTTCCGCCGCCAGGAGACGCGTAAGGGAATCCTGCAGCGACCCAACTTCCCAAAAACAGTGACGACATTCAAGAACCATCCGGTTCTGTTTGCAGCTAAGGGTTCGCATGGTCTTTGGACAGCTCCGGGAAAACATCGATTTGTCAAAGTAGCGCGCCTTTATGACATCAACGGATTTGGTACGCCATGGAACACTTGGAAGGCTGTGGACATAAGTTATGAGAACTTGAGATCGTATGGTGAGTGAAGCCATTATTATTTTCTTGTTTCGGAACTGACCAGTTTTACTTTTCCCAAAAGGTCGGTCACTGGTTCCCGATTGGCTCACGTATCGTGGCAAGTGGGGCAATCCCAAAAGCAATTGCCATCCTTTTCGGCGAATCGGTTTGAATTTCTGTGAGTTTACGGACGGTCCAACGGGAATTCCGCTCAAGGAACCCCACTTTCAATGCGGCGCTGACTATCGCTGATGACTTATTCGGAAAAGGGGGCCTTGCCTAACCTTAGACTAATGTATAGTAAAGTATTTATTGTGAAACCACCCAAAAAATCCCTTAAAGATTAAAAATGAAATAATAGTAAACGAAAATTCTAGATTTCTTTGCTGAACTAAGGGAAAACATATCTCTTTTGTTGTTTTGAAACTAGGAAATATTTTCCCTATTATAAATTTGAACTAATTACATATTACATTAGAACATATCTTATAAAAGTTACTATTCTCTGAATTTTTCCCATTTTATTTTATCTACTCACTTGGAAAATTAAATTGGCACTTTCGCTCAGCGTCGTATCATCAGGGGAATCCACTGGAATTTGTCTTGTGAATCTCGTGTCGAACTGTGAGACATCGTCCTCGCTTCTCTGTTGGTTTAATGTATGGATTAGAATTTAGTTTGTCTAAATTATTCGCCAAGATAGAGCGGCTTACCAAGAGCGGTTTTATAGGCGGTTCGAGGCGTCTGGCAAGCACATCATCCCAATTGACGTGCTTGAAGAAGGGATGTATTTGAACAGCCGCCGCATCCTCGGGACCGCTGCCAAGGCGCTGAGGCTCCTGACGCTTCATCAGGCGACGTACCAGATCCCTGGCTTCGGGTGTGAGGTAGGCTGGCAGATTGAGCTTGGCTTTAAGAATGGTCTCGATGGTCTTCTTTCGGTTCTCGGCGGTAAAAGGTGGCTAAACGATATCAGTTATTATACTCGGGTTTCTAAAACTCCTTTTCCGTAAACTTACGACTCCTGTAAGCATATCAAACATGAGAGCGCCCAATGACCACCAGTCGACTGCTTTGCCATGGCCACTTCTGGTCAAGATTTCAGGTGCCCTGCAAACAAAGCGAACTCAAATTATTTTAAAATTCTGTCATTCCCAAGGGAAAACAATAGAAAAAGGCTTGCGGGCGCACGCACATGTACTCAATTGTGCCGCAGAAGGTGTGGGTGACAATACCCTCTTGTATGTGCTCCTTGCACAGACCGAAGTCAGTGAGCTTCACATGTCCCTGTGCATCGAGCAGTATATTCTCGGGTTTCAGATCGCGATAGATGATACCCAGTTTGTGTAGATGGCCCAAGGCCAAAATAATTTCGCTTAGATAGAAGCTGAAAAGCAAAGTGAAATATTAGTAAATGACTTTATATTATTTGTATTATTTAATAGCTACCATGTGGTATCCTCCAAGAAGATGCCCTCGCGCTCCAAATGCATGAACAGCTCGCCGCCGCTCAGATATTCAAGTATTAGGTATAGTTTTCCGTCTGTCTGGAAGGCATAGACCAGCTCCACTATGAAGGGATGCTGAGGGGCATAAATAAATACAGATTAGAGGGATATCAAAAAATAATCCTGAACTGAACGAACCTTGACTGCCTCGAGTATATTGCGCTCGGCGCGCGTGTGCGCTGTGTCCTTTTGATTGGTCACTATAGATGCCTTTTTGAGCACCTTCATGGCAAAATATTTGTTGGCATCTCGTCCAGCGGTTTTGCGCACCTAAAATGGCGAGATTATTAGTGATTAGTGATCACTTGGAGGGAGCTCTAACTTACCTGAAATACTTTGCCATAGCCACCTTTGCCGAGGACCTTCTTGAGCTCAAAGTCCTTGGGTCCCAGCTTTATTTTACCTGGATTGACATTCTCCTCGCAGAGCTGTATGGTCTCCTGGCCCTCAGTGCTGTTAATTGGGAATAGGGAATTAGGAATTGGGGTTAGGGGACTGATTTAATTGTTGTCTTCTGTTCGATGGTGTTTGCGTCTGTGTCGGCTAGCGTGGGAAAGAAGCAGCCCACGTGCTATAAATAAATCCCATGGCGTGCACGCGCCAATCGTCACCTCCATTCTGGCCCGCTCCTCCCTCCCAACCAGCCATCTCTCCTATTATTGCCGTCGAGTGTTTGCCGTGAGTCTTGTTTACAGACCGAACTAGCTGGCTCATTGAAGAGGCGGCCAGGGGCCGAGTGACAGCTTGTTGGTAGTCAATAGCAGTTGTAAACACTTCTGTGCCCGGTCCGTTCGTCCGTCTATTGGTCCCTTATCGTCGTCCGGAGTCGAGCAGGTGTAGTGCGTCTGGTCGGGATCAGCCTCTAAGCCAAATCAATCAGATGTTGCCACTGCCGGCGTTCCCAGTGTGTAAACAAGTCCGAACTGATAATTGGCAATTAGGCTGCTCATTTGCCCGGCTTTATACGATTTTTATCTGCTCAGCTGGTTGCAGAGGAAGTTCGGTTCGATCTAGCCCCCTCTCTCCCCCGCGTTTAGAGTCCACAGTCACGTCCTCCAATGTAGCGACATAACACTGGCATTACTCACTCTTGGTGCAGATTAATACACAATTCCGGTTCTAGGTCAACCTGCAAACGAGAAAAGATACGGAGAGGGGGTGTGAGTGAGATGGCGCTTACTTTCAAGCATAACTGCCAGCGGAATACATGCGAAAAATAAACAATTAATCATAGTTATTGCGAACTTGAGACCAAACAGCAGAAGGGAAAGTTACACAGCAGATTGTATCTACGAAGACTTAACGCTCTACGACTTAAGTTTAATGTTAAGAATACTAGGAAGCAGTATTTTACAGCAGTAATTTGTTTGGTTTAACAAAAAAGTAAATAGTTTACGGATAAATTACAGACATTTGTGAATCACACAACATTCCTTTACAATTGTTGATAGAAATCCTAAAATATGATGATCAGTGATCACCAGTGATATGTGACAATAATTATCACATCGACTTTAATTTTTTTAATAATTGTTCAATTTAAAAATGTTTGATCTATTTATCAAATACAGACCGAATAATCATGTTCCGCTCAATAGCTGGCCTCCACCTTCTCTTAGTGAGACATGCCGGAGTTTCGCGATTTGTTACTTTACGATCAGCGGATTTAGAAAATAGTTAAAACACAATATTTACCGGCAATAGATTTTCTTATTAAAACAAATGTAAATATGTGCATTTATAACTAGGAGTAAACTAATAAATTTTACAAACCAAATGATTGCAGTTCTAGTATTAAATTTCCTCCCCACTAAAATCTTTGCATGTTGCAGCCTCAATCCCCATTCGATGTTACCCTACTTTCACGATATATTTTAAGCAGAGGGAGATTCCGATGAATGGAGAGATCGCATAGGGACAGACAGGGTCTCGCTCTTGGATCTTGCATGCTGTCCGCCTTTGGAGTCTGTAACGCCAGTGAATTTCTCCCCCTTTCGATCTGCCCACTCACACGGAGGTATTTACACAGAGAGAAAGAGAGAGACGTTCACACAGACATACTTTTTCCGCACGCACACACACCTTTTCTTTAATGACAAACTAAATTTAGAACTCGGAACAATGCCAAATAATCTGCCGGCGATGCTGGCGCTGCTCCTCCGCCCCAGCGGATCCTCCTCCTGCCCCCAGATGCGGTCGCTCCAACCGGGGGAAGGCCACAGTTAGGGGCGGCAGAAGAATCAGCAGCCGCCGCTCTCGTCATGCCTAAAATTTGTATAGAACATTTTTGACTAAAGTTCAATTGAATGGCGGCTTCGGCATCGGCATCTCGACAGCTCGTAGCGCAGCACATTAAAAACTGGTTCACCTCGTCAGCGTTGGCGGTGAATTCCAATTAACGAATCCATCATAATTTATAGCGCTCACACAAATTCGATAGATAGGCGAAGGGGTTTGCGCGCTTGCGTAAATTACATTCGACAAGTCGTTGAAGGGGGGGGAGATTTGATAAGAACGGGCATTAAAAAGGGTGTTCCCGCTTTGTGATTTCCCCCAGAACGCAAAGTTACAATATACAAGGGGTGTTACAAACACGAAAGAAACAGACCATATACGGAAGAAAAAAAATATTAGATAAGTTTTGAATATGATATTTTAAATCTTTCGAATATTTAAGTGCTACCTAATTGTAGGAAATATTAAAATTTGACTCTAAAAATTTAATTGATTTTTTATTTTCTCAACAATTAGCAGATGTAGGCATTCCTAGATTATTTTTTTAACTAACGATTTTATTACTAATTTTTAAATGATTTTGGACTTAGTATGACCTTTAAAAACTAATACTGTTTTGAATTTAAATTTACAAATTGACGATGAAAGTCCATCTGCGGTTTAATTACTATACAAATATTTACTATACAAATATTCCGTCATTTTTAGACTATGGCTATTTTTAAAGTAGGTTAAGTTAGTGAAACTATGCATTACCATTGTGTAACATTTTATAAACTATCCATGTATGTAGTATGTGAATATAATTATAGCAAAATTGATGGTTTTAAATTACTGCAAAGGGATTATAAAACTTGCATAAATCTAGCAAACGGCACTATATGATCTCAAGCGAAAAATTCTAACATAAACTTGGATTTTATTACTAAAAATTATAGCATTAAAACATATGCTAATTCTGTACATATATTATTTCCGTCTTTTTATACTGACTGCATTGCAGTTACGACTGGTTCTGTGGAGCACCCTAAATATTTCAGTATGGCACGATCACTCGATCGCTTGCTTACTCTCAAACATTTTGTTGTGTTCTCTTATCAGCGCGGTGAGGTTTTTCTCATTTTCTAATTTTATATTGCCCGCTGATAAGGAATTTCGTTTTCTAAGTGGAAGTTTAGACTCTTCCGTCTCTTTTTCCTCTACCTTCGCAGTTGTTGCATTTTAGTCAGGGACGAAATGTGGGGGAAAAGGGGGTTAAGAACTATGGAGTGTGGCGGGTAATTGGTTCTGATTATTTTGAAGGACATTACTTCGATTGGCCAATATCAGCAATGGTTTCATAAAGAGGATTTGGATGGTGGATCGTGGGGAAATTTCCGTATAATGAGTGTACGTGCTGAATAATCTACGGCTGGATGACGCCAGACATTTGCGCAGCAGATAAGCCGAGTTTTGCAGGGTGTGTGGATAAATTATGAGAAGGGGGTGTGGATGGCATTGGGTTTGGGATGCCCAGACGACCGAAAGGAAAACTGTCAGACAAAGCAGAAAAGGTAAACAAAGAGGGAAATTCCGACTGTGTGTGGGGGAAATTGTTGCTGCGTAGTTTATGTAGGGTATGAATGTGACTATCTTACGTCGTCCAGTTCGATCCTGTCGTCGTCGGAATCCCGGGCCTTGTCGTCCTGCAGCTCCAGGTCGTGGAGTTCCAGGTCGAACAGCTCACTGGGATCGCTTACGTCCGCCATTGTGGTGTGGATGTGAATGGATCGCCGCTGCTCCGCTCCTGAACTGGGCGCTCCTCTGGCGGGGCGGAAGTGTTTTATTTTGGTCTTTAGTCTCCTCTTTTTTGTTGTGGCTGGTTCAGATGGAACAGCAGTGCCGATTTCGTAGCTTTCGTGGCCCGAAGGTTATTGTTTATTAGTTAATGGTAATACAAATACACACACACTGGGGGACACGAACCAACACAACTGCGACGCACGCACCACGCACCCACACACACGCACACTGATATCTTTATAGGTATATCCTGCCCACGCGCGCCCTTCAAGTCGCTGATCCGCCAGTTATACGCAATTGTTCGCGAACGCCAAATCGCAATGCAGTAATCAGCAATTAAAATGCACTTTTTCTTTGTTTGCGAGTGAACACGAGGTGATGTGCTAGAGTGGCCAGACGGTGGCTACCTGCTACGCGCGAGCGAGCAGACACTAAAAATGGCCGCGGAAGGTGTCAGGCGATAGTTGCGAAAACGCGATAGTACCACAATCATCGCAAAGCGGAAGGGTCTGGCAACGCTAGAAACGGTTCGGTATTTTTTAATTACTATTTTGCTGGTCAAAATTTAATGTTTTTGTAAATTTTTAATAAATATATGTAAAATAATAATATATTAATAAAAACACTGTTTGATTTGGGTGAGATTTTATTTTGGTAGCTCTAATAGTTAAGCCATAAATATGTATTAATTTCTTATTCAAGTTTTGACTATTTAATTTATTATTGAATTGTTCATATTATAAGTTGTTTATTAATTTATTTGGAATAATTTGTTAGTTAATACTTATTAGATGGATAAATTCACAACATTTTCTTTAAACTAAATTCGTACACTACTAATTTTACTTAGCTTAAATTACATTTCCAAGTGGGATTTTAGGGTCTCTGGTTTAACCAATTTTCTGCGAATTTGTGGCAAAGCCACAATGGAGGCTACCTGAAACACCCTAAATACTCTTTCCAGGTAAACACGGTCTGGAATCGCGTGAATAAAGGCCGTGCTGGCTTAATTATACACACTATGTACTTAGAGGGTTTTTTCCAGAAAATTTCTTGCGAAAACACCTTGAGGTCAGGTCAGGTCCTGTCCTTTAAATTGTTGAAAAACGAATATATTTTGAAAAGAAATGAAGAAACCGTTGGCAATGCCTTTGCGCCCAGAGATTGTGCGATTCATGGTCACTCTAATTTAGGGCACGCGCTAGAACAACAAAGGCTAACGTGAATATTATTTTATTAATTTATTTAGAAGGAAATAGCAATTAAAAGACCGAATTATGTGCACCGGCTCGCCCAGCAGCAATGGCTCAGAGGAGGGTAGCAGCGCCTCGGACCAGCAGCCGCAGCAGGAAGTCCAGGAGGCTGAGCAACCCTCCACGCGAACCACCCACGCAGTTGTGCCAGCTGCCACATCGGAGGAAATCCTGGCCGAGTACGGGAGCAACCTGAAGCTCCTCGAGTGCAATTCGCAGGTGGCCGAGCTGCTGACCATTCTGCGCGACAAGTAGGTGGCTCTGAAAGTGGGTCAAAAGTCGTGTCCTCTACCAATCCCGAATTTCCACAACCACAGAAACACCACCCGCAGCGACTTCAAGTTCTATGCCGACCGATTGATTCGCCTTGTGATCGAGGAGTCCCTCAACCAGCTGCCATACACCCACTGCGACGTGGAGACGCCCACTGGAGCCATATACGAGGGCCTGAAGTACCGCTCCGGGAACTGTGGAGTGTCCATCATCCGGTCTGGCGAGGCCATGGAGCAAGGATTGCGAGACTGCTGTCGCTCCATTCGCATTGGCAAGATCCTGGTCGAATCCGATGCCAATACCCATGAAGCTCGTGTGGTGTATGCCCGCTTTCCGGATGACATTGGCAGCAGGCAGGTACTGCTGATGTACCCCATCATGTCCACTGGGAACACTGTGCTGCAGGCGGTGAACGTGCTGCGGGAACACGGAGTCCCCGAGAGCTGCATCATCCTGTCCAATCTGTTTTGTACTCCCATGGCCGCCCGCACCGTCGTGAATGCCTTCCCCAAGCTGAAGATCCTCACCTCCGAGCTGCACCCGGTGGCCCCCAATCACTTTGGGCAGAAATACTTCGGTACAGACTAGAGATTTGGAACTGTCATGCAGACTTGACGACTAAGCGCTGCTTAGGATAGGTAGCTGTCTCCCACAGACAATCGCCTGTCGCCTTCGCCCCACTAACGTGTGCTCCTCTCTCTTTGTTTCGTCCTCCAGATGGCATTTGAAACGACAAAACCGGCGTCGCCCAGCGGTCTACCAAACTACTTTAGCAACTGTTAGCTTTTCACAACTGGGTTTTAATGCAACTCTCAAATACGTTACGTTCGTTACGCACTATTGTATATATAGGAAATGAATAAATATTTAAAACGATTGGATGGTGGGACTTCGAAGCTAAGAGCTCATCTTGTAGTTGACCACGGTGTCCACCTTGTGGAGTCCGGTGGAAAAGGAGCGCAGCTGGACGGCCTGGGCATTCTGAATGATAATGGCACCCGTTTCGTCCCATTTGGCCGGAAGTTCGGTGTTTTGCAGAGTGTGGATCATGACGTCGAAGGTGCAGATGCAGTCGAGCAGTGGAAGATAGCTTACGGTGGCCGATATCTGACGCATCACGTCCCGAATCTCGTTCTGGATGCGAGCGAGCTCCTTGGTGGTCGTGAGCTTGGTGGGATCAGTATTTTCACCGTCGCCCAATTCGGCCTGCATCTTGAAGTCCCAGCACTCAAGCACTTCCTTGGTGTGGGCATTTGTGATGACCATGGAGATCTTGTTGATCATGTTTTTTGAAAGCCATTCTGGGGAATTTAAGAGGAAGAATGCCATTATAAAGTTTTCTAGAGTTACTGGGGAAAACTCACCTTCAGTTTGACTGAGCACGTTCTGCAAAAATGTCTGGATCTTCGGATCCTTTGACATCAAGATGGTCAGTCCATATTGTTGGGTGTTGTCAAAGTCTTCAGCTGGGTAAATGCCTCGTTGAAACAAAATAGAATTGATTCCATACTCTATGTTGGCAAAAAAAAACAAATTAGACGCCTTCAATGGCGGGCTTCTTTCGGATTGCAAGCTTTTGCGCTCTACTTACTCAGATATTCCGCAATAATCTGAGCGGATCCCTTAAGTGTGATGCAGTTCTTGGTTGCTTGAGCCGTTGACATGTTATTTTTAATGAAACAAACGACTTTTTACCAAATTTGATGAATAATTTGCGATTAATTGCCGCTATTTTTGAAAGCAGTTGTAGACAGTGTGACTGCGTTGGTATAGACGTAAAATACCAGACGGCATTAAGAATATACCAAAGTCCTCGATTTAAATACTATTCATGTAAAGTTGCCAGATCGACGTTTAACCGTAACCAGGGCTGGATCACTAAATTCAAACATAGACCAGTGCTGCCAAGCAATGGCTGTGAGGCGGGAAATTTAAACGAACACTTTACTCCACAAGAAAAACATCCAACCTCTTGATTGCAACAAATTCAGAATTTTAATGGCCATCCTCGTGTAAACTAAAACTAAGCATGAGATCCATTTTTGGGCGCAAAAGTGAATTTAAAACATTTACTCCACTAGAAAAACACCAAATCTCTTGATTGCAACAAATTCAGAATTTTATTGGCCATCCTCGTGTAAACTAAAACTAAGCATGAGATCCATTTTTGCGCGCAAAAGTAATTCCGCGTGGTTCGGCTAGGCAAGGTTCCTCCGGTTCATCGAATGCTGAATAGGCTGCCTGTCAAAAGACCAAAACGATACTTTGATTTAGCCAAAAAAATCGAGTGCCTAGTAAATTTAAATGATCCAAAACCGGGCTCGGTTTGTAAGAGCTTTGCTGGCTGCCCTCTCATTTGTAGTTTGTGTGAGGAAAATTAGCAGCAAAAGCAGATTGAAAATCAATAAAATCAAACCAAAATCAATCGTAAACAAAGTAGAAGAAGCCACAGGAAAACAACAAGAGGAAATCAGACCAAATCAAAAAGCAATCGTTTTTTTTTTTAATGTGAATTATTTGCAAGTTTTTAATTAAATTTTTTTCTTACGCATCGTTTTGTTTGTTTTTGTTTTTTTTTCGTTTTTGTTTGTTTAATGTTTTGTTTTAAATTAAAATTAAACTTTACATGGTATTTTTGGTATAAATCTTTCAATAATTAAATATATAAAAAATTTGCCACTTAAAATAATTGAAAATAATTTCTACGCACTTTCTCGCCTTTACGCCTAGCCATACAAACTGATGTCAACATACACATTGCGATAAAAAATAACTAATTTGCCATTTTACATATTTTGGTGTTAAAATTACGCAAATCAAAAACGAGGACAAATAAAATAATATTTCGAAATTAAGTAGCTTTATAGTGTTTGTGTGTGGGGTGTGTGTGTAAGCTTAAAGCTAGAGTTACGTTTAATTTAGGTGTAATTAAATACAATAAATTATGGTTAAAGAAGGGCTTGCATTAACTTAGTTGAAATGTACACAAAACTTATCGTTAGTTAAAACGAGAGCTATTTACAGGATTTATTACAAAGTTCTCGGCTACGTCAACCTTTGTTCTCATTTCAAGAGTATTGTCTATGATACAAAAACAAAAGCGCAACAGTGTCAGAGTCAGGGTCGAATCGGTAATGCTTTCCTCTCGAACTTTAAACTTCGATCATCTTTCGTACAATAAATAAATAATTCTGTTCAGATTTAAGATTTATACATTTCAAATATTCTGTCACCGTGCACAAAAACAAACGTAGCTAAAGTCAGTCTGGATCTGGAACTTTTCGCTCGGGGAGAAGGAACTCTGGTCTGGGGAAATCGTACGAATTTTGAAAAGTTTTCTGTTTCGGATTTGTGTTTTTTTTGTAGTTGCAAACTTTGAGAACGGTTGTGGGTCTTGGACTTGGTCTGCGGTGGTGCAACAAGTTCTCTATTTTTTTAAAATAGTAAAAAATTACAATTGTCGACGTTTTGAAGTGCAGGGAGTTTCGATTTTTTGTTTTTCGTTTTGTTTATAAAATCATAAAAATAATGAAACAAAATTCTATGCATTAATAGACGTTATTTAAGGTATGTATTTGGCCGTAGATTGCAACAAAATATCTGTGAAGAGATTAAATTATAAATAAAATTAAAAATTAATCTTTCAGTTCTTCATTTACTGTTAACTAAAAGCTGACTAACACCATTTCCACAAAAAGGGGCAACTACAAGCATTAAATTGCGCTCTCGAAGGAAAGAGTTCCATGCATGGGACGTTGAAGAGCAGGCCTTCAGCAAGAACCACTTGGAAATGTGTGTTTCTGGTTCTTTCGAGCTCAAGATCTCTCTTTGCTGTGAATTTTTTTGAAGGAGACGAGCACAAACTAAGGAAGTAATAGTGAACAGTGTTACCCAAATCGGAAACGCAGGAGATTAGTCAAGAGAAAATTACAAAAAAAAAACAATCACCAAATAAAAGTAAACAAGGAGCAGAATGAAATTGTTGGTTTGTTTGATTTGAATTGGGATCTTCCGGTGTTTTTTTTTTTTTGGTTTGTCAAAATCTACAGCCACGTGTTAATGTCTAATAACGAGTAGTAAATAAAATGAATTGCAAATCATAAAGTATAATGGGTTATTCGTTGGAGAGTAGTTGAATGTGGTTTGTTTTAAATATTTGCAAACTACAAAAATTACATCGAAAACAAAACAAAATTCAGTTCCCGTTTCAATTGTTTAGTCAGTACATTGGCTTTTGTGGGTGAGTGTTTTTTGGCGAACTTGCCAGCGTTTATGCGTGTGGATATTCGTGTATCTAACTTAAGAGAGCCTCTGTTGATTGTTATCGTAAATCTGGATATTCATATCTTCTGTGTGGGGGTGAGTAAACGTGGGCTGAGCCAAAGGATTCGACAAGTTTATCAGTACTCTAGTGGGGATAATGTCCCTTTTGTCCAATTGTCCGCTTGTCCGCTTGTTCGTTCGCCTGTCCTCTTGTCCGTCCGTCCGAGTTGCTTGATAATTTTGTTTTGTTTTGCTGTTTTTTTTTTTTACATTTACTTGTGGTGTTGGTTGGTGTGGTTTGTGTGATGAGTGAATTGAAAATATTTTAAGTTCCTATGTAAACACTATTTAAAATAAACCTTCTATAGCACCCTTTGTTTTTATTCGTATTTATTTGATTATTCTCGTTTTTAATTATTGCTCTTAATGTGATTTTAGTTTACAAAATAATAAATATTATGAACAACTTGGTTAGTTATTTATTTTGTTTACTCTTTGTTTTCGTTTTTAAGACTTTACGTTGTTTCTTTTTGGAATGTGTTCTCTAATAAAACTTTTAGTTCGTCGTTTTCAAAGTGACTGATTGCAGGGGGTGGTGTGGTGTGTTGTGGAGTGTGAATAGGTGTCTGGAGTTACGTTTTGGGTCCGATTCTGCATACTGTATTTGTACTCTCTGTCTGTGTGATTGGGTATGGAGGTGTCGCTTTATCAACTATATTTGGTTTATTTCACTTTCTCTCTCAGCTTTCCTTTCAGAAAGCTTCTATGCGGAAGGATAGCTGTGAAATGTGCAATGGGAATTTCGCTGGTTTTGCTTTTCTCTATTTTAGTTTGTAGTTTGTAGTACTTTGTAGATCTGTTTAGTTCTTTTATATTATTTTATGTTATGTTATTCATTATTTTGGTATGGGCACTGAGTTCGGTTTGCTTAATTTGATTCGGTTTCGGTTTTGTGCATAACTCGCGTTTGACTCGACGTTAAACAATCGATGCTATAGAAGTGCCTATTTTAGCAGTAATAACCTCCATGATAATTTACGCATGATTCGGGATTACTATTGCTGTACCTACTGTCGGGGCTATTGTTCTCGCAACGTTCGCCGAAGTAATCGGATGGGCAACTGAAAGACAAACGAGAATGGGTAAAGAGAGAGTTCAATTAGTACAAATCGTGTTTAATATTCAATATTCATACTATAATATATAAGGTATACACAAGTGGGGAAAATTGCGAATGCAAAATGGCCATGAACTGCGGTGCAGCATTCACTTGACCACTCGCAGATCCGGTCAAATATAAACAAAAGAACAAACAAATTAAGTGTGTGGCATTAAGCAAAATGAAAGTGGCTAGGGAAAGTGCGGCAGGGGCAGGTCGGTCGGCCAGTTTGTGGTATCGAAATGGAAATCGATTTTTCCCAACGCCCCCTCCACCAAGAATAAAAAAAGGAAAAGAGATCATCGCAAGGGTAGCGAGTGAAATGCGCTTTTTTGGGATCCAATTGGATCGAATCGAATCGAATCGAATCGGTTTGCGTGTGCACACTCGTACCGCCAGATAAAACGAGGCGCTGAAAGACATTATTCACATTGCATACACACACGGCTGCAAGTGGGCCTTTGTGGAGTTCTCTTCTCCGGCCACCAAATTTGTGGCCTTTTAATTGCGCTCAGTAATTCCCCTCAGCATTCCCTACTCTGTTTCCGAGCGTGTAATGCGATGCCAAAATATTACAAGATATATATTTAGATGGGGTCGGCGGCGCAGTCTTATCAGCTGTCACATGAGAGGTTTATCAAGCGAACCACTTGAGTTTCGGGATCACTTTCGAGGAGTCTAGCTCGGATTTGTGGCAGGATGCAGCGAGTGCACAGCGAAAAACTAGTCGTTAAAGTTTCTTCTTTTTCTTATATGAATAAGGTTTGACTGGATTACTTTGATCTTTAGTTAGGTTAATTATAAGAAATTTGAATAGGAATCACTAGAGAGTCTGAAGTCCTAACTAAGAAATAAGTCTGAATTAGAACGTGGAGATATATATGCAATGTTTTCTGAGCATTTTAAGCACTTAAAAAAGTTAGTTCAATTTGATTTGAAAAAGTTGAAAGGGAGTCTTTATTTAGACACTATATGCGGTTAATTTGCATTTGAATTTTTTAAAAGATGTTTTCGGGTATTGGATATTTCCTTTTGAAAGTCGGAAGGAAGTTGTAGGGTCAAGAAAAGTATACACTTTTGCAGTTATTATTTTGATAAAGAATTATAATTAAGATTGTGTAAAGAAAAAAAAAAAAATTTGTGTTTGTCTATACTGGCATTTGTCTATACTTGCTATTCGCTAGCCATTGATTTGACATACTCGTATAAAGAATGCCGAAGCAATGACTACTAGGTTTATATTATCAAGGAATGTTATAAGATTTAAAGTTACACATTTAGTACTCACATGCAGAAGATCGCGTTCAGATCCGCTATCATCATACAAGTGCCGCCATGGAGGCAGAATGCGAAGTGACAGGGGGTGCCCGAGCTGCGCGACTGGTCCAACGGAAAGAGAACTGAAAAGCAGGCAAAACAATTTGATTTACAAGGATGAATTTAAATAAATAAAATTATACAAGCGCCATAAATTAGAAATGAATTGGAGCATTCCGCAAGGGGCCGACGACATAACATCGAATGTGAGATGTGTGTGGCACATAAAATCCCACCCACGGATCAAAATCCAAACAGACTCACCTGCTGAGGCCTTGATCATGATGCGGCGCTTGAAGATCGCCTTGCTGGCTTTATTCTTGGCCCGGCACTCGTACTTGCCGGCATCGGAGGAACTATTGAAGGAGCGCACGATCAGCTCGGAACGTCTTCTGCAAAAGGGGTATTCCCCAAAAACAATTCATTAGATATATTACTTGGAAAAAGACCCCAAATCGAACTCACTTGTGATGCTTGAATTGGTAAACGTTGCGCTTGCGATTGATGGACTTGTCGTCCTTGAACCAGGTGACCTTCGGGGGCGGCTGGCCCGTCACCTTGCAGACGATCTTCAGCTCCCGGCCGTGCTCGATGGTGGTATTGTTCGGCACCGAGGTGATCGACGTGATCGATGCGTTCTGTGCTGTAAGAAAGACCAGGCAAACCATTAGGCCATGCATTTCGCTTTCCGGTGATTTCGATTTTTCGATCTTCAATCGATCGAGAACATCAACAACTTTGGATATAAGGGGATAATGGCGGAATTTTCCACCTGCCTTTATCGACTTCATATGATTCTCAGACAGCCGTAAACAAAATAGCTAACTAGAAATTATTCGAATTCTTGGTGAATTTTCACTTGCGCTTTTTTTATGGTCGTCGCGTTTGTTTGGTCTTTTTGCTTCTTAAGTTGGCTGGAGATCGTTAAAAAGTGTTCATTTGTTTGGCACTTTTTGAAGGTGAAAAAGTTTATGGGCGGAAAATTGGTGCAGTTGCTATGACAAAGCAAATTAATGGGTTTGTACGTCAAGATTTTATTTCTTCTATTGACTTGTATTGCAATTTAATATCTAATAAAATCTGGATTTTTTATTTTTACCGGAGAATGACTGATTAAATTGTAGTTCTTATCTAAGGGATCACGCTTTTATGACCATCCCCAACCTCCATCACGTGCCCCTAGCTTTGCACTCTTTATCAAGAGGCTTGTCCCCCACTTGCGGTTTAAATATATTTCTTTATAAGTTACCCAATTACATATTAAAGAGTCACAACAGACTGACTCATCAATGCCGACAAATTGGCAATGAAACTTGTGTCTCTTCGGCGAATGGCGAATCGCGAAAGACGAAAGGCGATGTGCCACTCCCCCGCCGGCGAGTGCCTAAATTAGCCGCCATATCACGTGTCCGGTGGGCGGGGGCGGGCTTAGTGGGGGTTTGGGGGGAGGGGCCGGGTTGGCTAAGTGCTCGTCACATGCTAATTGAGACCTGCGTGCGCTGTCCAAGTGATTCACCAGCGGTGATCATGATCATTCATCGATCGGCGGGTCTATTTCGGTGCTATTCCTCGCACTGCGGTGGGTGGCAGGAAAAGGTGGCAGGAAAGAGTGCACATCCACAGAACACCCTCGGTCGTTATGCAATTGGCAGGGAATACGAATGTACTATACATCTATTTATTCCACGCGGGTGAGGCAGTTCCAAGCAGTCTACAAAGTCTGCGCTGATTTAATGCCCGGCAAATGTTAATTTATGCGATGAGGATCGCGTGGCCAGACGAAGCTGTCCATATGGATATATGTATATATATACATATATAATGTGATTTTATATTTGAAAATGTACACTGGGCGAAAGCGACACGCAAGGATGGGTTTTAAGGTTTTGGAATTGGAAAAAAATGCATTTAAATGGAAAAGGTTTGCCTTGAAATTCCCTTGAATGCCATAATTTATAAAAAAAAGATTAAAGATTCAATTAACTTAATACAATTGCATTAGAAATATTTAAATAAATATTTTTAATATCTTTAAAGTAAAGCATAAGTTTCTTCTAATATTATATGGAAGAATAAAATGTTGGAGAGGAGATAATCTTGAAAGAACCCCTTAAAACTCTTTGAGGATGTAACTTTTAAGAAAAATAAATTGCATAGTTCTATTCTCTTTCTTTTTTACCTTGATTGCCCCATCTACTTAGAGACTTTGTTTTGGTTTCCAGTGTAAATGTTTCTATAGGTGTATTTATTCTATAACATTTTGAGTATATTTAAAGATAAATTATTGTTTATAATTTATGTTTGGCCCAGCGTCGGGCCATAAAGCAGCATTTTAATTGTGCGCGCCACTTTCTCACGCTCCCAAATTGTGAGTCGTCTCTGTGTGCGTGTGTATCTGTGTGGCAATGGATATGTGTGTGTGTGTGCATCTGTGTGGAAGAGATCCAAAACGTCAACTCACAAGTGTCCACGGCACACAAGGCGATTAAGAATTGAAGGCACCCAACACACGGGCACACGCAAAACAAGTTGACAATTGTCATGAACAGCTCCTACTTCATATGCCCACCCGTCCACCCTTCCCCCCCGAAATGCCCCTCAGCGGTTCCCGCTTTGATTTAACCAGAAATCCCAGCCAGAATAATAAGATGAACATTTTTATTTGCCTTCTGCGTGTGTTCGGCTTTCGGTTCAGCCAAAAATTGGCATATCATATTGCCCACTTCCCCACCGCCTCCACCGATCTTATTATTATTATGACTTAATTATGCGCTTCAAAATATGTGCTTTTGTTCGGGCCATTGGTCTTTTTGGCAGCACAGAAGAAAAAAAAAACAAATCATTTTTGAAATTATTTGATGTGTGAATAGTGTTCAACCTAAATGATTGTTAACAAGTAGACTGGCAATAAAAGCTAATGCTTGATTAATTAAAATGCTAATTCAAATAAATGCTAATGCAAATAAAAATCTTTGAAAATATGGATTACATTTACATGCTTTTAACATATCTGATTGAAAATATATTACATTTCTTGTATATATTATCTCTTCATATATTTCTTTCTGTGTGTAATTAGATTTCGCCCATTGCCGTTTGATTTGTCAATGTCAATTGGTTCGGAGGATAAAGGATGAACGAATCGAACTGAAATCCGATACCCTGCTCCAGCCGGGCGCATTGGCCTTTCAGTTGGCCCTGGTGTGTGCGTTTGGCGAGTGCGTCAACAACTTTGGGCCAGTGCCTACGTCAAAAAGGCTGATGTCGCGACGCGCTTCCGGAAAAGTCTGGCATACACAAGTACAAGTACAAGTGGCAAGTAGCAAGTGCCACTATGGAAGGAAGCGCTGCCAAAGAAAACGGAGGAAAACTGTCGTCGTCGTCGTCGCCTCGTTGCCTGCCTCCCCAATTTAGCACACAGACAGCACAGCGACAGGGAGCATTAAAATAACTTTTCATATTTCAAATAATATTTTTGCATTTCATTTTGGGGCCCGACGCGCTTTTCTTCCCGAGCGTGACGCTGCCGCCAATGATTCATGCAAATCCATCAAGAAAAGCGGGTAGCATCGGGGGAAAAACATGTGGTTATCGCTCAGGTTGTCGGGCGAAAATGAAGTTGCTTTGCATTGAATTAATCAGCGGAATTGCATGCGACACGCCGACTGGCGCCATCTGCCGGGTCAAATTGGCTGCGAACCCATCAACTCTATATATATATATATATATTCACGTTCGCCATGCGATATTCACTATTCATTCATCCACCAGACGGCAATTTACATAGTCATTACCACGCCGATCATTGTTCGCCTGGGTTTATCCCAATTGTGCAATGTGAAATGCGCTTTTCGCTTATTATTTCTCCCTCAAAAGATATATGTTGTGTTATTTGTATAATCTTCCAATACTCGCTGCGAGTGGGAACGAAAGAGACAATTTATTTTGGCAGCTCGGCGAGTGACCCACATTTGCCAAGATGCCACGATGCCGAGATGCTGCCGCTGTCAGCGGAAGTTTTTCCAAAAAATAAAATTCATATAAATTTCCCTCTTTAACCGACGCGGTTATTTATGATTTCGAATGCGTTCGAGTGTTATTTATTTGATTATTTTTGATTCATTTTTATTGGCTCGCGACATTGTGTCACTGCTGGATTGGATTCTCTTGCGTAGAGTTCCCGACGTCAGTGATTTATCGGGCCATAAACAAACACTACGAGTGCGCTTCATGCGATATGTATCCGTCACTATCTTATTTGTCTGGATGAAACTTAACAATTGTAGCACGCGTCTCATTCGGGGCACTTCAGTTAACGCCCTGATAATATTTGCGTGATTACGGCCCCAGGGCAGATAAGTGTCTTCCATACAAGTTTATTGGCTGAGGTGTCCATAGTGCCAGTGGGCATTGCGCATACGCCGTGTTGGCCTAGGCAATGGCAAATAATTGCTCATAGCGCCGCTTGCCAGTAAAGTGCAAGTCAATTACTGTTATCAGTGTGAAAACAGGCTATTTACTTTTATTCTGCATGTTAAAATCAGCTGAACTAATAACTCATGTGCAAATCAGATAATTGAATTTAAATCTTGCTACTTTTCCAGGATTATCTGGGCTTACGCATCTTGGTAATGTTTGGTCGCAAAGATTTCTCCCATTTCTTAGTATAAAAACTGCCTTTGGAAATACAAAACTAAAATCTTTTTAAGCTAAAACACTTGTATCACATATAATTTTCCCTAACCATTACTTCACGTGTGTGTCTGGGAAAGATTTAAAAGCATTTTTGAAGACATTCCAATACGAAATTCGATATGCCAGCAGATATGTCCAAGTAAACCAAAGTTCCAATACCCAAGCAAACATGGGAAACATCTTCCGATTCATTTCGAATAAAACAGCAACAAACATAGGCGAATGATGTCGTTTCTTTTTCACAAAACACAAGACGGGAAAGTCAAAGAAAAGATTTTCGCATGTTGTGAGTTGGGCAAAAGGCAGATGGATGGGATGGCTAGATGGCTGTATGGATAGATGGGAGATGGGTGAATGGATGGCTGGCACGTGTGGCCAAAATGCTGGCAGAACTAATAAAACCAGGAAAATAGCAGCAACGTTGTCGCCATTTGGCTGACGTCGATTTTTCCATGTTTGTTTGCGATTCTTGTCGTCTTTTTTCTATTCACGTTGTCGTCTTGTTTATTTGCACATTGCGTATACGCACTGTGATTTCCTTTGAAGCGCTGCCTTTCCACGTTTTTGTCGCTGGCGCTGACAACTCAAGCAAATAGAGAGACAGCAGCAATAACAAGAATCATTTCGTGGGGGTAAATCTTCAGCGGCAACAAACAGAATAGCAAATGGAAACTGCTGGGATCCAGTCTGAGGCGCATTTCCATTAGGAAGAATGAGAAGTGTAATCTCGCCTAGATAAGCGATAAGCATAAGGCCCCATATCCCCATCAGCCAACACCCCGCCCCCAGATCTTCTATAGCTCACACATTTGAACTTCCCCTTTCACATGTATTTTTAACCGCTGTCTGCAGCGTTTAATTAAGTCAAGTGAGCGAAGATCGCTGGCCCCCATGCATCGCCATCGGCATCAATTGTCTTTGCCTCAGTTTCAGCCGCTAAATGCCAAC